CTAATTAATCAAAACCTCCGAAGTATTATTCGAAAAGTTGTTTATGTTAACGGAAAAGTTTTCGTATCGAGGAAAAACCGTCAAAAATGAATCCGGGCTCATATTTCATCGAAAGGGCCTGAATGGGCGAATTTATGGATTAAATTAATTCATTTAAATTGAAGCTGTTGCTGGATATGTTGTGGCGAAAGCTGCAGCTTGACGACGTGAATATTCATGTAGGTCGGCGGATTTGTAAAGTTGCGCAACTCTCGACACACCATTTCGGGAGTTATGCAACCCACAATACGCGTTTTCTTTTAAAGCGCCTTCCTCGAGGAAGAAAAGTGTTATGTCCTTATGATTATGAAGTTATAACGTTTAAGCCCTCGCACGTGTGGCGGAACGTATGACTATGGGAGTATCAGCCGATGAAATAAAAATAAATAGCTTCGTTCTCAACTCGTGAGGCAATTTCGGCCGAATTTAAGACTCCTGCCAGTGGTGTGTGAAGATTAAATTAGAGCCGCGTCTCGAAAACATAAAACTGAGCCATAATTGTCAAAATTATGCCACGCTTTCGACTTATTTTTACGCCAATGCTCCCATACGCTTAAATCGCCGGGTGCTTGAATATTGCGAAGCACCATCGAAACACTCCAACTGCGAAAGGTCATGCAAACGTAATGGAGTTAAATCGTGCTTGAATTATTACAAACAATACGGTTGCAACGGCTGCAGAGGTAATTAGTGAGCTCATGAAAGGATGGAGCTGTGCCGTGATAGTTTGGGGGAAAAATCGGCGATTGGCAGGCTGTTGGTATTATTTTGGTAAATGAGCGTCAAATCGATTCCTCGTCATGGGTATGACTATCAGTGGCTATTGTTTTGTCAAGTGATGTTAAAGGAAGAGACCTGTCAAATATGAGGTTTAATTAATAAAGCCCATCCCAGAGCGTCATTAGTGCTGCGTCAGGGGCTCCCGATGAACCAGCCCCTCGTACTAATTGATGTAACGGCCGAGAAGGTGATTTGGGTTGTCGGTTTAAAAAGAGAGGCAATTTTGGTGGAGGCGCCGGGCTAAAGCACAACATCGACGATAAAACGTTGGAGATTATTGTAATAACAGGCTATAAAATTGACCGAAAATTATCAAAAACAAGAGATGGTGAGAAGATAAGAGAAAATTTAGTTTTTTTTGGTAAAATTTTGAAAATTAGTGGGACACATTTCGGGTGTCAACGTTTGGTTAATGCCATTGTGACAAACTGACGAATTAATGGGTAGGGGTTTTATGTAAATCTTCACATTTAATTAGAATTTCAAGTCAATGAGCCGTTGGAATTTACTGAAACGTCTTAACAAGTTGTTGCATCACTGGGAAATATTTTGTAGGCAACATGTTAATGATCTTACTTAGTTTCTGGGATATTGCTTATGTAAGATTGAATTAAAATCTTTTCCTGTAAGTGTTCAGATTCAATCTAATTATTTTTCAAAAAAGTGCGTTTAATAAGTTTGGACAAATTTTACGATTTTTAAAAAAGTGAGATTAATTTTTGCATGAATACACCATTATTTGGCGGATGACAAGCTCACCAGACCACTGTTTCCCTCAGCGTTAACGATTTTTTTTTGAGCTGGAGAGAAGTGCTGCGCTCTAAGCTAGCATTTTTACGATCAACTGCGCTTTACGTAAATTAAAGTCCTAGTAATAAAACTTTCACCATATATTAAACATTTTGCGTAACTGTTATTGAAGTTGAAGTTACAAACACTCAGAGGGATAAATAAAAACCTGTGTTGTACAATAGGTGAAACTAAAGCCACTAGGACTTTGTTTCTAATTTTTGTATATAGAAGTGTGGAAATTTAGGTGAGTGCGCCGGAATATCTACATGTATATTTTAATGACAACAGTAAAACGGACGTTAAAATATTGCAACAATGAGAAAAAAAGGTATTCTAGTGCTACGAATTAGAGAAATTCAAAGCCTGATATAATTGATAAATAAAAAGGTGTCAGTGCCTTTTTAATTTCGCTAAACGTATGCACCTAGAACATATAGTTTATCAAAATGTTATTATTTTCAAATATACAGGTGTTTTGTTTGAAAGTTACATATTATTATTTCCTTTACAAAATTTTGTGATGATGTTATCAACATTTTTGTAACGACACGGATATCAATGTGGATAGGTGCAGCATAATATAATAATAACAGAATGAAAATGGAATGAGCCGTTCTTGATTTAATCAATAAATTGACTCATTCATTAATTTTTTTGAGTCATCCTGTATACGCAGTCCTAAAAAATATGAATGCACTGCAATCACAAGTGCAGACTCACCATATTCTGCACATTTTCGATAATACTTATAAACGGCAATCTTTTTTTTGTTATTTGTCTAATAAAAATCGACACAGACGGCAGACAGACAGAAGCGGGATTATAATACTTAAAATGATATCAGAGAAAGAAAAATTTTCAGAATTCAACTGAAAAAGATGACAGAACCGGCAATTTGTAAATTTAAACACCCTGTGTATAAATAAGTGTAAATTTTGTACCATTTCTTACTTCCAGAATTTAAGCTAGGGAGGTATTTATTAGGATCCATTTGACGAAAATTTATTTGATTAACAATTTATGACCTCGTCTTAAAATTTTGTGAAGTAAATTCTACCTAAATTTGATGAGATAACATACTTCTGTGTGGTTCATTAATCTACCCATATTATTTACTTTAGACGTCAAGATTTTTGGAAAAAGAAATCAAAATGCAGTTAGAACGTTTTATAATTTAACTTAGAAACCATGGATATGGTAAGCTGGTATACCGTGGATCTACATTTCGTCAGTGTATTTATATTTTTTGGAATTTCTTGTAATAAACGTCTAAAAAATTAATGACTGAAGCAACTAACTTTATTCCTAAATCAAAGACGGCTTACTTCATTGTTCGAAAATTTAGGAATACAGTACTGCTAAATCTTTGAGTTTTCTTATGTTTTGTTTTAAAATATAAAACAATCTTGGGAACCCCTTGTGTTTTATTTTTTACAGAAATTGAAAAAATCCTTTTTCTTTTTTTTTTAATTTCTAGAGACCCTAGTTTACTTCCCCAGTCTAAGCTGTAATAGGTTCCACTCGAAGAACGACTAATTTAATAATTTCTCTATGTTTCATGACCCCTAGGGTATGAAAAAAGTACCCCGTTTCCGTCTGTCTGTCGTTTATAGTCTGTTGGCGATTTTATTAGATCGTTAAGCTCCAAAACCATTTGATCGATTGTTGTGAAATTTCATATATAGTTTAGGAATATTATGTAGATAGTAAAACATAAAACTAAAATTTGCATAATCATCCCCACCAAAAATTTAATGACGTCATTTCAAAAGTTATATAAATGTGTAACATATTATGAGTCTATACTTGTGGTTTGTCAATGCATATTATTTAGAATTGCTTAAACAGGGTGACTATACAGGATGACTCAAAAAAATAAATGAATGAAGCAATTTATTTATTGATCAAATCAAGAACTTGCTCACCCCATTTAGCGAACATTTTGGGAATACAGTACTGTTATTGTTAGTATTACGTGTCCTTGCTAAAACTTGATGACAGCATCAACAAACTTGAACCACACTCGTAGTCGTAGTTAATTAATTGGTGTTATCATAAAAAATAAAATGTGCAAAATCAAATTCTATAATTTTATTAAGGAACTAGATTTGTTTGATTATACTTCAAGGACAAGGGAATCTTGACCAATTTTCCTCAAGGGAAACTTCGATCAAGTGACTCTGGAATTACCTCATTAGAAAAACTGTCACGAGTGTCCTCAAAACTTCATGCTACGTAAGGACGTTGATATTTTCTACAGTGTCTCTCTAAATATTACAGGGATTATATTATTTTAGGAAAAAAGTGAAACTTTTTGGGCCGATTAGAGTTATTATTTTTTAATAGCCGGACTGTATATTTACACAAGCACTTGAATGAGTACTAGATGCTAGATTAGTCATTACTTAAAAAAATTGGTCGAAGTTTCTTAATTCCAAGTACTTGTTTAACTTTAACTGTTTTGTATATGTTTATGCTTCGAAAGAATTCGACCATTAGCACACGTCAGATCGTATAAGCGCCGGCATTGAACTACGTCAGCATTGGTTCTCTTGACTGATTCATTAATTTTTTTCAGGCACCGTGTATAAGCAAATCCAAAAAATATGAATGCAATGATAAATTTTACAAGAATAGACTCATCATATTTTGTAAATTTTAGATAGGATTTATTCAGCAACATTTTGGGATGACGTCATCAAATTCTTAGGGGGATGAGCAAATACATTTTGATCAAAAATTTACCATGCTTATGATAACTTTAAAATATTTCCAAGATTTCAAAGAATTCGGTTTTGTAGTTCCTGATTAAATCAATAAAATAAATTCACGAATTCATTAATTTTTTTGAGTTACCTGTATATGCTGTATTGGAGGGGATAAGTATATATGTAAACCATCTGCAAGATCTCAAAGATTCGGTTTTGTAGATTCCAAATTAAATTGCAAAATGTTGTTTCATAATATTTTTTTACAAAAATTTAGACGTTTCGGGTAAAAACTTAACACGGACTCATAAACTACCTGTGTAGGACTATGTTATTTTATACAAAATAAAACCCATTTACTATGTACAATTTTGAAGTGACGTCATCACATTAGTGGTAGGGATGATTAGACAAATTTTGCTTGGCTTTTTGCCATCTACATGATATTCCTAATATCAATAAAAAATTTAAGAACAATCGGCCCAGTACTTTCGGAGATTATCTGTCTAATAAAAATCCGGAACTGCAGACAGACGGGCAGACAGACGTCCTCTAGGGGTCATGAAAGGTCGAGGAAATGTAAAAGCAGAGAGTCAGCCGATGGACTCGATTACAATACTTCCTTTGCTTACGTTCGGGAACTAAAAAGTCTAAGTATTCAGTGTAAAATTTTCTACTCACCCGACGGTAACATCAAATATGTTGCTGCCGACGGAGGAGGAAACGGCCATGTCGCCGAAGCCCTTCCGCGCCACAATGACGGAGGTGATGAGGTCCGGTATTGAGGTGCCTGCAGCTAGAAAAGTCAGTCCCATAACTTCCGGCGGAATCCGGACCGTGTCGCCGACGACGTTCGCCCACCAGACCATCAGGTACGAGTACGCAGCGATCCAGACTATGCTCCCGACGAACGTTACTGGGAAGAACTTTTTGCCTGCACAGAACGCAAAAATCAGCGTTGACGGACGGACGCCTGACAAATTCATGACGGCGCTAAACAAAACTTGCGCTCTAAATAAGAGATCAAATTCGACGTGGTTGCTCGAAACGGCAGAGGAGGATTTTATTGGCACATTTGGGGTCTGGAGGAGGTTTGTGGGGCGATGTCGCAATTGTCAGCTACGTAAAAATTTACGCGGGTTTGCATTTTTATGGGTTCGGGGCGCCGCAAGAGCGTGTTAAGTGTGTACTAGCAAAAAAGAACCTTCTAGACGGCTTTCAAACTCTAGAAATACTTAAATAAAAGTTCGTTAATTATGCATTTGGTCACTTAGTTAAATTAAAATTTATGACGTCACCACTAATTTAATTGTTTTTTCCTTTGGGCTTAACGTAATAAATTGCCACTATTATATGTAACTTATGAACGACCACTTCATCCCGGGTTCATTTTCATTATCGCAATATGCGGTAAATGAATGAAACTGTTTAATTAAAACTATTATTACCACGCAATGTGGTAATTGATTCGCTTTAAGCCGCAATCAGGGTGCAACGAGCCAACAAATTTTCTTAAATTAATTTACTCGAGCCAGATTGGATAAAAACAAATAACGGTGGATGATTGTGGCGTAAATTTTAAGTGGTTCGACGATAAAGTGGCTTGTTTTATACCAACAAAGCGTTTTTAAATATACGCTGTTTCTGGAGAATTAATCGTTGCGGGTAGAGTTCGTGAAACTGTAACGACATAACGGTAATCTTGTAGTCAGACCCCCAAATCGATTCCTGAAAAATGGACGACATAATTCTTGGAGAAATTCGGCTGTCGGAGACACATACGGACGATAAAAAAGCGACATTTAAAAAAATAAACAAACTTGTGGAATTTTAGATTTGCTGGCTGTTGAAATAATAATTATACCTAATAAAGATTAAAATAATTAGAAAATAGCTGATTGTGTACAAAGCGAGCAAAATGCAAGATGTAGTCACGTAGATGATTTTGAATCAAAAGAGGTCACGATAAATCGGTGTTTTTACAGGCATACAAAGTGCTAGTTAAGAAAATGGAGGCTGAAACAACGTTTTATGCAGAGATCTTTCCAACTGTATTTTAGCAAGTCGTAATTGTTTGGAAAGAATATGATTTCACTTAATTATTTTTATCAAAAAGATAAATTGGTACATGCCTCTTTAAAACTTTGTTAAGAGAACAATGTAATAGGGAAAACGTTGTTCTTAAATAAGCCAAAAGATCGCAGATATGGTGTAACATGAGCCAAATGGAATGTTCGTGACAAGCGCTCATTCTGAATTTTTTGAAGCTTCTACTTTCATTTAAATTAAACACGGACAGTATATTATTATAATACTATACCGGGTGTCCCACGGTACCTGTTCTACACTGTTACCAAGTATTCTAAACATTAGTTTCAAACTTAGTGCGGCTGGTTAATGTAAAAAGAGGCGTAACATTACAATAATACATTTTTCTTTTTAAATGATAAAACATTGACGATGTTTTTAAACTACTAAAACTATTTTCAACAAGATGGGACTACAGCGCGTCTTGTAGACTTTTCTGTGTGACTCTATTTGAAGAACATTATTTACATATATGTACTCAATATATACATTTAATTATGGAATTACAAAGTAGAAACAATATTCTTGTGTTATTTCTTAGATTGCTCACAAACAATTAGATTTATGATTCTATTAACACCAAACGATCCCTTAATGAATCCATCTTTGTTCTTTGTTTGCTGCTGGGTTTTATAGAATATGAATCTGTCGATAAATTAGCTACTATTGTTATTATTTCCATTACATGAATTAAAGCGTGATTTTCGACGTGGTTAACCCACAATAGCGAGCACAACTCCACGTAACATCTTAAATAAATGCAGACCTATCATTTTAAGTCCCGTTATTACACCGCTCCTGCCTCCCGAATCCTGCTCCACGACCCCAAATCCCCGATCCTCTCCACGTGCAATTATTCGCCCGGATGAGTGTACAGCATGTCTTAGATTGAATTTTAACAGTCGCCTGCAAAAGCGAAACTCGAGAGGATAATCTCAAGTCCTAAGTGGTGGAGTTGACGCCAATAAATCCGCCCCCGGTGTCGACGATAATCGTTGTTTTAATAGGTGAGCAGACAACAAAACTCGAGGATTTAAATAAAACGCCTTGAAACAGACGCGCTGGCATTTCGGCAAAGGACGGGCAATCGAACTGGCGAACCTTGAAAAGCTGGATGAAGGGAAAAGCCGGGAATTTCGGAGGCCGGGGGCGGCGCAGGCGCCGGGGAGGCTCACGCGAACGCCACGTGCACGGGCTGGAAAGATTTTTGGGGAGGAAGTGTGTGGGGGGGGGGGGGGTGAACGTGGCATAGTTCTACGAGGAATTCTATTTGTCATTAAATCGCACGTTGGGGTGTAGAAGCAAGAAAATTTGAAAATTGAGGGGTGTGGAAACTGGGTTATCTTGGTGCGGTAAGACGTTTTTTGAAATTTCAGGGGCGTCAGTTATCTATGAAGCGAATTTCAACAAAGGGGTGACAGAAATAAACGACGAAAACTGAAAATTGGAAAGCGCGGCTGTCTGAAAAGCAGGATTTACAAATGCTCGGAGGATGAAGCGCTGTCTTTATTAATAGAGGCAGCATTGACGAAGCACCAGTATTTGTTAAATCGCACAGAAACGAAAGGACACAAAGCTGAGATTTATCTGAGCTGTGGCAATGTAAAAAAAGTAAAATTTGGAAGTTCTCCAAGTGAACAAACAGTTGGTGATGTGCTTGCCGAAGTAAAACTAAAGTTTTAAATTCATGATAGTGCTGCAAGATTTCTTCAGATAACGGACCGAGATAGCTGCAAGTTTCTCAAATTTTGAAAAAAAAAATGTTAATGAGGTGCTGAAAGAAGCAAACGATAAAAAAATCAGTACATCAAAAAATAGGAAGTTATTTGAAAATTATATTTCAGCTAATTGCACATCACCAAAACAGTTCATACGTTATTCTTTAACTATTTCCTCTGCTCTGCTTCCTAAAGAACAACGTACACGGGAAGTTTGGCAGGCTAGAAATAAGGATTTACGGAAATATTGATATCACACTCGTAAATCAAGTAGGGTGAATACTAATAAGAATTTATTATCGACTTATAGTATCTTCCGATGTAGTGATAAACACATGAAGAAAATTGAGGATTATAAAACCAAAACTCCTGGAAAATGTAACTTCTATTTCGTAAAGAGTAATTGTCAAAAGAATTAAGCAAGCCAGAAACTTTATCTGATTCAGCCTCAAATTATTTCGGTAATACATTACTTCCATCCATTGACTTTCGAAATTTTAAAATGTTGCAAATTTGACACTTCTTAGTAATGGTGGACATTTTAAAAGTTTTAAAAAAACATGGTTAATATAACATATTAATATCCATCAGATTAAGTATGACATTTGAACTTTCGTTGCCATTATAGGTACACACTCTGAAAATGACCGAACAAATCAGTACCCTTTTGGATGGTAGAATCATTTATGACTTCCCTGTAGTTAGTATTTAAAATTTTTATGTAATTTTTGTTTTTTTTTTCATTTTTCTCTCCGTAGCTGTGACTATCACTGTTACAATGAATTTGTTATCACGACTGGAAAAATATTGTCGTTTTTGCCTTTGTTCATTTTTTTTCCTTAATATGTATAATCATCTTTTCACAACAAACAACTTAAAACAAGTTTAAAATGGTTAATTTGTATAGGGAAATATAGATTTTGCAATTACGCTCCGCCCCTCGGTTTAACAACCAATGAAAAATTCATCACGATTGAGATCGAGACGGATGGGCGGGGCTTCTCTTTTGGTTTTCTTTTTTAATTAATACATTTAGTTTTCTTTGTAGAACACGATTACTTAAGAATATATTTCAGTGGTAATTTCTCGCAGAAAAATAAGTATTTTACACTTAAGCTCCGCCCCTCTGCTTACGACGAATAAATAAAATCACCAGAATTGAGATAGGGTGGGTGGGCGGGGTTTATATTTTGCCTTTTTTTTTCTTAATATAGATAGCCATCTTTTCACAACAAGAAACTTACAACACATGGTACATTTTTGCAAGGAAATATGGATTTTGCAGTTATGGGGCGGAGCCTAATTGCAAAATCGATGTTTCCTTATACAAATTTTCCATTTTAAACATGTTGTAAGTTTCATGCTGTGAAAAGAAGTCTACACATATTAGAACCAAAAATCAAAATGTAAGCCCGCCCACCCGCCCTGTCTCAATTGTAATGATTTGTTTTCATTCGCCGTGAATCAAGAGGGCGGAGCTTAACTGCAAAATACTTATTTCTTTACAAGAAATTAAAAACATATTTTTGAGTATTGTGTTATTCAAAGAATACTATATATATTAAAAACAAAAAAATATAAATCCCGCCCACCCACCCCATCTCTACTGTGATGATTTTTTTTATTCTTAGAAACTTAAAGCACGTTTAAAATGGCAAATTTTTGTAAGGAAATAAGAATTTTGCAATTAAGCTCCGCCTTCTTGGGCCACGACGAATGAAAAAAAAAACATCACAATTAAGATAGGGCCGGTGGGCGGGGCTTATATTCTGCTTTTTTTTTTCTTAATATACATAGTCATCTTTTCACAACAAAAAACTTAAAACATGGTGTAAATGGTACATTTTATCCAAATTTTCCATTTTAAACATGTTGTAAGTTTCATGCTGTGAAAAGAAGTCTACACGTATTAAAACAAAAAAGCAAAATGTATAATAATAATTATTATTTGTCAATTTGATCTTACTGCCTATTTCTTCTTCAAGGAAATTTACATAAACTTATTATAAAGTATATAACTCAGAAGAAATAATAAATCAAAAAGTAACACAAAACGAGGCCATGAAAATTTAATACACTCATGAATGAATTGTGAAGTCTGATCTAGATTGTGAAAGAAATAAAAGAATCGTTTAAATGGGAATTCTTTCCTTAATTGCTTCCTTGATTAATTGCTCTTGATACCCCATCATCAAAAAATATAAAATAAAGTAAAAACATTATAAAAAAATTTACTCCTAATATTTAGGGATTTATCACGTTACCCCTCAACGTTATTAAGGCAAAAAATTTCAGGTACAGATACCAAGTGAGTATAATGATTCGGATTTTTTTGTCAGGTTGGTGATATATTTAAAATTTTTTCTACTCCCACATAGTAATCCATGAATTACGAACTGTCTAGCCTCATAGTAAAACCATAGTTACACCCACTGGCATGTAATGAATGAACAGGCACGTAATATATATATATTACGTGCCTGTTTGAGTAGTTTCCATAGTAACTATAAATATTTGCTTTCCCAAAAAAATTTCTTCTGAAAGTGATTGTTCATTATAAATCGTAGAAAAAGTATATGACACAACTCTGGTGGTAAGCTAATTACGAACTCATATTACATCACTCGCTCGCTACGCTCGCTCGTGTATAAACTTCGTTCGTAATTAGCTTCTTACCACCCTCGATATGTAATATACTATTATGATCGTATACTCGATTGTCAAAATGAAATTTAGGGCATCAAGTCCTCTATCTTCTTATCACGTTTGTAAGAATCGTTAGATACATTTTTGTCAAAGTAGAGAACTGTGAACTGACATATTAACATTGCTGCCAATAATGCAGAATTACCAACACCCAAATTTGCTTCAATCGTTAATATATAGTAGTCACCCAGTATTTGAAATTACAATGTTAAGAACAACGTATGTTACAAACTGTAAGTACATAGTCATAAATAGATATAATTAAACAGTTGCATCAGATAAAGTTTGTACAGCCACATGGTTGCCCACTTTTGATGGAGTGAAAATGGGAAAATTAGGAGAAACGGTTGTAAAAGGAGCAAGGAAGATTATATTAAAGCTAGAAAAAAGAAAGGCAGATAAAATAGAATAAAATAACCACGTTGAGATATGTAAGGTGACTATAAAGGTCGTACCTCAAACTGATTTTGGAAAATACATCACGCAACGAATTATTGGTTGCCTACCTATTAGATGGCAAACCCACCCAGTGTTTAAAAAAAGTTCTACATGAGAGTTGGCTGTAAAATCCTTAAAATTAATTATAGAAGTGAAGGTGTAACTGACACAGGAATCAGACTGTCCGCTGTGACAAATGACAAAATGTGGTTATTTAAAGGTTTACACTGATTTATGTGAAATTCAGGGTAGCAGTACTACGACATTATTGTTGAAAAAAATCACTTGGAAGTGAAATATGTTGAAAATTTCACGATAGCGAACTTTACAAAAAGCAGAAATGAACGAATGTTAACGATTTTATAATTATTAATATGAGGAGATCCAGAAGAACACTAAAGAAACAGAAAATTTTGTCATCGTTAAATTTTTATTGTTAAGCTTCTCTGGGTGAATCCTGATAGTGCAAAAACTGAAAACGCAAAAAATCCTATTCAAACCACCATCTCGGTATTATCATTAAGGATCCCGTCTTCAGCAACAAAAAAGACAATTTCTATAAACTGGTTATGAGGGTTGAAATTAGCACACGACGAGCCGACGAGCGATGATGGTGTTAACTATGTACACTTAATAGCCATTCATGTAAAGTACCTCTAGGCGATCGCGTATCGGGCAAAGTTAGCCACAGCGGGAAGACAATGGGCGCTAAGAGAATATACGTGATCCTCTTGCGGGCTCCCGAAGGCCAGCCCATGTCCATGGCTTCAGGGGGCTCCTCCTCGGTTTCTCCAACCTGCAGACACACCACTGCTTGTGAGGTCAGTGACTTACGTGCACGTACAGACGACATGCGTCGCTAGAATCAGAAAACATAAATCATTTTAAGCACACACTCAACGCTCTACGAAGAAAAGTCAAAACGAAAAAGTGAATGGACATCAGACACATCGAGAGTACACCGATATCCATGTGTGTTACAGTGTGGAAAGCTTAATCCCGCTCCAAACATTACTTCAACACATGAATGAATGCAATGAGTTGTTCTAGTCCAGGAAAAGTACGCAGAGGCTGCTAGCGCAGGCAAAACTGGAACGAGTTGGATATCTTGGACGCACCTCCGTTTAACTACTAACTTGAGATTCTCTATGAAAATGCTTTAAAAACTCCTTGAGTACTTAAAAGTCTGGTAGGTTAACCTGAATGGTTAAATGGAGGTGAACGGAAGCTTCAAGTTGTTCCAGATTTGTCCGCCATCCCGTTAAATTTCCTGGACTATTCGTGTGCCAGCGCCAAACCATTTACTGCTACAAGCCCATCAACTACTCAATGGGTTTTCGAGCTACATGAACGTCTAAGGTACGGTTCTCGATGGACACAAAGATGATACGACGGGCCGGAAGGTGTCTGCGACCCATCGTGTAGATAAAACACCACATGAAGCGAAATGTGCAACGAGTGCCTCATCTACATTACGGTTATAAGTATTATGTTGAAATGGTCTAAGCGTCAAGCACTTTAAGCACACTTGCATGTTGAACTAGACAACTACATCGATTTACCTTCAATTTTGAAGATTAGACAGGATTAAGCCCGTGATTTGTGGACTCGGTACAATAAAGACATGTTAGTTACAGATTTAAAAATGGGGGTTAAAAAGTTTGATTTAACGGGGGGCAATGCACTCAAGCCTAAAAATTGACGAGCAGTAGAGTATACGGTTGGAGTAGATCGAACTTGCAGGGGAGGGTTAAAGAGAAAAATTTCTTTGGTGTATTTTTGTGTGGTTTGCGGCCTTCGAGCGGAATCACTGTCAATGCAGGTGGCGCTTAATGCATAATTTAGTTGTATAGCGGAAACGGATGCAAACTTTAACCTAAAGCGAAAAATATGTCCTGGGACGCAGAAAATGCTATCCCGTGAAAACGAGCATATACTGTAAAAGTCAAAGTCAAAATGCTAACACAATTTACACAATTAATAGTTTTTTTGCAATCTCTTACTTGGCGGTTTGTAGTTGCTTATTCCTTCACTGCAGTTTAGACACACCCTATCAAATCCTGCAATACATAATCACGTCAAAAAATTTTAGTGGATGCAAAAATAACTTTCTGAGTATACACCGGACACTCTAATACTCGAACAACCGGTTTTGTTATGAGCGTTATTGAGATTCTCTTGGTGCAACTTTTTTCATGTAACATTACGCGGAAAGAAGACATCTTTCGGTCAGGAAATGTATTCGTTTTGCAGCTTCTACGTAAACTTGAACTTCCTCAACGTGTCCCCTTCATACACAAAACTCGCAACTTTAATTTCTATGCAAATCCCCACCTTGCTTGCAATTTCATGAACTTGATGTGAAACGATCCATTTAATGTGCAATTTTGCTCGGTACGAATGTCTACGTCGCAAACTTGCAACAAAAGAACAACATCTCATTCAGCAACCCCTACACGCTCGCCCGAATCTGTAAACTAAATTCCTAACCGATGATTAAACTTCTCATCAACAACTTAAGAAACCCCACACTGCTCAAATACAGATCTCTTCCTGCCGAGATAATTTTTCCTGCGAGAATTAACGACCCGAATCGATTCGTTTAGCGTCTGCCATTGACAGTAATCCCCTGAATTATGGGCCTAACGCGTCTAAGAAACCATCGTTTTTGGAATTTCTTCGCGGTTGTTGCGGGAAATGTTGAAAACAATGACACCTGTCGTGCAGAAAGGAACGAGAAGAGCGCGTGAAGTGGTTCTGACGCAGCCACCTAGTTAAAGTTAAAAATTCGGCTCGGGCGCCAGTTTTTGTACCATCGAGGTGGTGATTTTTCTGCGCCGTGACACCCACTTCGCACGCACAGAAACCAACAAACAGGTGTAACACCAAAGACAACCAACTCACAATTGGATCGGATTTCCATGGAAATTGCTATTTATCAAAATAGAACAGCACGCAGTAATTTCGCTTAAAACTGGATGTAGTGTTCGAGACGAGCGGAGGATGAGGACGCTAACAAGACATTGTTGTCGCGAACTTGGTGTGGTAGTAAAATGCGGGCGATTGTTAGTTTTGTAATTAGTTGGTTATGTGTGCGCCGAGGCATGCGACGTATTTCGCCATAATGGGGCGCCATCTTGGGGCGTTCGAGCTCCCCATTGGCCGAGGTGATTTAGGTGTGTGCTGCGTCTTGATTTTGTTGTTTCTGCACAACTCATTTAAATGCTAATTGCGTATCTGTTATGGACTGGGTTTTTCGTAAATCATCGTGTTTATCTCAACTCTTGCGGTGATAACGTCCCGCATGATTAATGGCCGCGTTCTTTAAATGTTCATTTTCTTGGTAAACAGGGCTTCCGGATTTTTCGCGCCAACTAATTGCGCCAGGAGCGAAGCGTGACACATTAATAAAAATTAAAACGTACGCAAATTCATTCTTTAGTTCGGGGAACCTCAAGAGCTAACGAGCTACAGCGGATTAATAGATTTGCGGAAGATTTTTCCGGAGATTTTTCGCAGAAACTAATTGAGTTATAAACAAATTTACACTTGCAGTTATCTAATACAACTCGATTAAATAATGGATTGTGGGAACAAGTTTTTTCACAAACTGTAACTGGAACTGCAGTGTTTTCGATATGTGGTGAAGTGATAAATCATTAATAAAAATCAGAATGATGGATGTCTTCGTTTTGGCACGCAGGATTAATAGTGTGATAGCAAAAAGGAGATGTTACAAACAGATTTAATTAATTCGTTGAAGCGCTAAATTTTACCCTGCCAGTGTTCTGAATTAAAGCGATCTTACGCTGTAAGCCGATTATTCGTATGTAGAAATATTATAGTACTTCTCTATCGCTCTTATGGCGTTCTCAGTACACTTATTAATAGACTGACTGTTATGAAATAATTTTAGTTAGTGACGCGCATGAATGGATTAACAAGATTCCCACTGTTCCTACCCACTATCTAGCGCTGTCCACAACTTTCTCTAATGCAGGCGTAGTTTTTTTTTAATTTATGATTCTATTTTTTTTTAATTTGATGAAATTTTTCATCAATATCTCAAATATTTATGGAAATTTCGGAACGCGGTTTTCACCACTGTTTTTAGTTTACCAATTTCTTTTTTCGGAAATCAGATACAGCAAAGCAGGTTGTGTCGAAGAAGCACACCATTAAACCCGACCATTCAGCAAAATGTAAATATTTTTGTCCTTTTCCCTCGCCGCCCCCGAAAAACATTCGACGCACACTGTACGATTGCGGCCCCTCATCCTCCGTCGGCGGCGGCCGCGAGTTCGCGTCGACGCTCGCGCGTGTTCCTTGTGCAAGAAGTGAAGTGTTAAAATCTGGCAACTTACCGCTTCCAGGTTGACGTCGGTGAGGGCGTTCGCGACGCCGTTGGGCATGTCGGCGATGCTCGAGGGCGCCAGCATGGTCTCCTGCTTGGCGGCGGCGGCGCTCACGTGGTTGGCGGCCGAGCTGGTGGCGGCCCCGTTCTGCGGCTTCGTCGCGTCGAGGAGCACCTTCAGGGAGGCGATGGCGTGGAGCTGGGTGGCCTTTTCGTCCACCTTGCCTGCAAGAGCGGAAGGGTGCGTCAGGGCTCGGAGGCGAACGGGCAAGATAAATTCCGGCAGGTCGGGGGTGTTCGTGTTTTCGTTGTTTTGCATTACTTATTTAAAACAGTTCTTGGTTTAAACTTTTGTGGTTGGGTGAAATAAAAATACAGGAAACGAACGAATAAAAGTCCTCTAAAAAAGCATTTTTACTCAAAACTGTTTTTATTTCCGTGGCTGTAATTGACCATCTGGGTCCATAACCTGTTGCATTTTTGCATTCACAGTTATTAAAAGCACACTACAACTGTAAAGTGCTTTAAAATGTAGGCTCTTCATTAATTTTTGATGTATCTCCTGCCTTCACAAAAATATGTCGCTAACTAACAAAGATAGCTGGAATACGAAATGCGTACGTAATAAAAGATAACCTGCACGACTCTGCTCTGAAATTTAATTTGCCTGACGAACACAACACAAATACGAAAATTAGCGCGGGGGTGGCGCCAAGTTCGGGTCTCCAGAGAGGCTTAAATAAATGATTAGCCGTAAACTGAATTATCGTTTAAATTTTGCGTACTTTTCTGCAATATTTTACGTAGAATCGAGGAGACACTCCGTAGGGTTATGCGCCCCTTGGGCCCTCCCCGGCGCCCCCGGTCATGCACAAACAGGACATGTAGGTTAGACAAAACTTTCCCTGAAAATCTACTCGAAATAATGAAAATGGGAACAGTTAGAAAACGATCAATGGACGTGACACATCACAAGTGGGCGTTTTAGGGGATGTGATACCATGCAAAGTCGGCGGATGTAAAGAGGAAGGTCTCTTTCTCGTCCATTCGCTAAAATATATTATCGTTTCGCTTTAAGCGAGATGAGACCTTTCTCAAATTTACTTAAGATTTAATCGATGTCGCATGAATAATGTCCCGAACAGGTTGAGTATTACGTAAAACTTTCCCAGAAGACCGCGAATTGTCAAAATCAATAAGAAATTTTACTTTTCCTGTCGGTTATAATTCAGGGGAAATTCCCTTCAATAAAACAAATTGCTGAAAGTCACCCCATCGCTCCCATTAACCCCCGGCATTTGCTTGTTTCAAGTGTGCATGCAGCGTTTAGCTCGGCGATTTTGCACAATTTATAGCTGGAATCGATACGGCGGTCTAAGCGAAATATTATTTTGTGGGTGGATTTTTTTCTGGTGCAATCTGGGCAACGTTGCTATAAGAATTCTCACTTTTAAACTTTGTTACCAAGGAAGACTTTTCGAATTTGCAGTATAAATATGTGCAAACACTAACAAAAAATATATTCACTCATAATGTACTTTCAGATTTTTTTTTCCTTTTCAATTATGTTTTGATTCGGTTCGCGATGGAATCACGACGTTTTAATTTCGAATGCGAATTGGGAATAATATTGAGCGGACGATGGGGATGGGAAATCGCGTGACTTTTAACCTCGTGTGAATGTTTGGAATTTGCTTAATGAAATATATGTTGGTGGGAGGGGGTTGTGAGCACGGTAATTCATTTCGGTCCACTTAGGAATTGTCCAGATTTACATGTTACGAGTGATTGAGTGGATGGATTATTTCTTCGGTTTTTGTAGCTTTGGAAGATTTAGATTAGGCAGAACATGTAAATGTCACAAATGTGCAGGGTGTGTCAAAAGAGTAACAATTGGGTTAATTAGTTTAATGTTTTGATTAATCTAACAAATTCAAAATCTTAAAAAACTTGTTTAAATAGAACCTATCTCCAACTACAACACAAGTTCAGTTTATTAGCTAAATAATAAAACTTGATTCTGTGAATTTAGTTTATTTGTTGTACCTTCTATAAGTTGATCTAAAAAGGCACTAAAATCAAAACTTGGACTATATTACAATGGGCTTTGAAAATTCTGCTTCGATTGTCAAAAATCTGGTAAAAATTGAAAAATCTATTAAGGTTTGGAGAGTTTATTAATGTGTATATAACATGGTGGTGATTTTACAGGACCACGAAGATAATCAAGGCGACTAGAGCGACGGTGACCAAGACGCTTCTGGATTGACCTTGTCGATGGACTGCCCATATCAGCAATATCACGAGTATAAGAAAAAGTGGGTGCAGCATGCTGATTTCCAGAGGTTATTGAAGAATTTGGAAATGATAGAGATGAACACCTGGTAGCATTCGTTAATAATAATTGAAACACTGAGCTGTGGCAAGCTCGTAAAATTATGAACTGATCAATGTCAAAATTAATATTATTCTGAAAGTCAGAGAACGTCAAACATACGAAAAAAACTCGATTTGATTTGTATTATTTTGAACTTCGAAATTTATTAACTGTTTGATAATGCTATTTGTCAAGAATGTTTTTTATCATCATCATATCAAACTAATAAATGATGTATCATTGAAGTTACTCTTTAAGAACAGCTGTTGTAAAGATTGCATCTGCTAGTTGATATTGACAATCGTCTCTGGTATCGTAATTATTCATGTAATGTAAATAGAGATATTAATTTTTAGTAGACTAAAATAAAGATAACAATCAGGAGTAGGTATTATTTGTATTTTATTCCAATCCACTAAACTAAAACACATTTTTAAAGACCACAAATTACTGCGATAATTTTCACAAAATTCGCTTCTGAAAACTCAGTCATTTACGTCCGAAAATGCTCCCAACGAGATTTTAGTTGTCTCCTCCTCTCCGCATCACTGCCAAAGCTAGTCACATAAAAAATGCATTATACCATTTTGTCGGAAACAACAACGGACCATAAAACCCGTATTAACTCTTTTTGTAGTGGAATGAATGCTTTACGAGCTCCTCGAATTAAACTTATTTTTTGTAGCTCGAAATTTATGACATCTAAAAGACAAAAAACGACAACACAATACAATTAACTAAACCAAGCATAAAGCACTAAACACTCCAAGTACAACGAACGTACTCGCGCCTACAACTCCACCCCTCGAAGAAATAGTCTCCTCAATAAATTCCGTAAAACTCTCCACCCTCATCAACATTACCAAATGCCGGTCTGGGTAACATTTGGACAACACTCCGACCACCACGTCCTCGCACAACACCACCCCGCCTTTCTCCCCTATGCAGGCTTTGTCGTTCACCGCACATATTACGTTCTCCCCCAGCTTTTTTTCTGGAAAGAGCTCTGCGCAGGAGGAGGCATTCAGGTGAAAATCGCCACAGAACACGAACCTCCGGTGGATGTTCTGGTTGCGCCTCCAGCTTACAGCGGTGCCTGACACACAGTGTTCGGTGAAACCGTGAGTGGGTAGTTTGGGGAAGTCGATGTGTAAAGAGTCTTTGATGGGGCCGTCCACCAGCAGCAATCCGATGTCGTACTGGGGGTCCTTGTGGGACTTGAAGAGTGCGTGCTGAACTCCTTTCTTCACTTCTTTTATTTGGCCGTAGGAATCGATGGGGCCCACTCGCACGGCGATGTGTCTTTGTCTGATGTGCTGCGGATAGACGCACTGGGCCGCCGTGAGGACCCAGTTGGGGTTCACCAGGACTCCGCCGCACAACACTTGTTCGCGGAAGAAGATGGATGCGAGGGATTTGGATTCGTAAGGGTCGCAAGCTTTAGATGAGGCGAGTAGTTGGAGAGAGAGAAAAAAGAGGAACATGTTGACGGTTGATGATAGGACTGTCAAAAATTTTGTAAAATAAGAAATATGATCCGCTAAGGTTTGGAGGTTATTAAAATCAAATCTAGGGACCAACGTTCATTCAAAAATTCATGCAATAGTTCCATTGTCTTTCGCGTTTTGTGGGCAGTGGCATTATCTTGCTGAAAATATCCGTCCCTTAATTCGTCATCCTGCAGCTGGATTTCGGTACCTTTCAGCTTTTACTGTTCGTTGTTCGAGCAAATTTGCATGGTCTGTTTATTTATGAGCTTGCATAGCGGGTGTGTCAGTATACCGAGGTCCTGTTAAAGCAATGGACAAAGTATTCTCTATAGTTTACACTACAAAAAAAAGAAGTAAAATTTTGTAAAACGCAGAGAGATAAGCCATCAAGAGAAGCACCCTGCACGTGCCCCTCCCTCTTCCAGCTCCTTCCCCCATGAATGGAATGCAACCAGCACTTGACTGACAACTCAGTCAACAATCGATCTCGGCCCACTGCGACTCTGACGTCCTTCCGCTCCGGCGCTCAAAAACAAGCCGGCAAACTGCCTCTTTGGAATTACGGCAACTGTCAGGACAAAAAGCGACGTCCCAGTTTGCGCGACTACCTGTTCATCACAGCCTCTGTGTGGAAGCGGCGATTGTCACGGCCAGACCTCGTTATCTCATTGTCGCGAGATGGAACAGTTGCATCGTGACGCACTGGAAACTGCTGCACGGTGGCGGCGGCGGTTAATTGGTGGAAAACGAGCCGGTTCGGATGTGTTTATCTAATGAATAATAAGCATGCGAATGTCGGGGTGTACTTAACTTATTTAACGAGACAGATCGATCCGATGAATAATTCACGCCAGATTCGGAGGAATTCGAGGCAGCGGGGAAAATGGATGTTGATGGGGCCGTGATGGAGGGGAGGTTCGCGGTTTAAAAGTACGTGTTTTTCTGACGGAAAGTATATTTAAGCGGGAATTATGCTTGCTTTTTTTGATGTTTATGAATATGAGCTATTGTTGTTGACGATCCGACAGTGTTGATTGAGAAGAAAAACGGGCTGGGAGAGTGGAATGGAGATCAATGGAGAGGTGATCATGAGATGTTTTTAGGATGAAATAGAAGCGCGAGGGATTGAATTGTTGTGGGAGATGACGTGTGATAAGGAGCTTGTGTGCTTCTTGAGATGGTGTCAGTTGGGAAGTAGGACAGGGCTGGGCTTGTTTGTGGTGGAGAAGCGCAAAACATAGTCGGGGGAGTTTTTGCTGCCAAAAATAGCCGGCAGTTTAAGATTTTCGCAAACGGAGTCATAAATTTGTTAATTTTGTTTTGTCACTTGAAGTCTAGAATGTTTAGAATTTTTTGTACGGTAATTCAAAATCAACATTTTAAGTACATTATTCAGATTTTAGGACTATCAAAATAAAAATAAAATCATAATAATTCTATATGTTATGGTTTTTTTGACAAATCATCGTAAAATCAATATAGTTTTTGATTTTCTTGAACGATATAAAAAGACTAGTTGCCGTTTCCGTTTGTCTGTCTGTTTGTCGGTGATGCTATGAATAGATCACAGAAACATACACATGTTGGGCTGTTTTTTTTTATGGGTTTCTAGTTAAATTTGTTGTTTGCAGTGCACTGTGAACTATGCTTTTAATTTAAGTTCTGATTTTTTTGTTGATACTCTAGGGGCGAAGATTTTTTAATTTAACTGTAGGATTCGCTGTAAGTTCACTGGTCATCTTGAGAACATTTTTAAATTTTGTAAATTTTACTTCAGTGTCTTTCTTGAATCTTTCCTTGCACTGATATGGTTTCATTAAGAAAAGGTCTTCGCTTTCTAATTTACTCAATTTGCTACATTTATTAATGGGTCATTTAAAAAAAAATCGAAAACTGATTCCACCTATAAAAGTTTTCGATAGGGTTACCATGATATTGTTACGAAATACACCCTTACGCCGCCCCGGTACTACGCCTATGGCTATCGAGAACTTTCTGCTGGTGATGACATAAAGACAAGTGTGGAGCCGGCTACCGAAAGTTTCGATTGCGGGGTTTAGAAAAAAACAAGAAGCTGCGTTCGAGATCCGTCTAGAGGAATGCAGGGATTTAAATAGGGGCCACCGTCGGGAACCATTATTCATTCAGCTAGTGGAGTCAAGAGCGTCCAGTGAAATTCTCCGAAATAATTTCTGTACATAATCGTTGCAATAGTTAGTCGTGTAGATACGAGCTATTAAGAAATAAATTGTTGAGTTTTAACTTACGCGGATTTTATTCGCCCGCCCGGCATAACAATATTTTGATCTATAAATTAAATCATCTTGGTTTTTATTCTGAAACAGTTAAATTGTTACATTTGTTTTTATCTGGAATACAACAGCGAGTTCGAAATGGTAACTTTAAAAGTTTCACTTTTTTAATGTTAAATGTGGTTTCCCACAGGGGTCACTTTGTGGTCCTATTCTCGTTTTAATCTTTATTAATTATGTACAATTTTATTTGAAATGCTCTGACTTTTTAGTTTACGCTGATACTACCTATGTAGACCAATTCTGATGAAATTGTGATTAACGCTATTCGAAATTGGTTTGCTCATCTCTGCCAACAATTTGATGACGTCACCTCAAAAATTTAAATCCTGTTTAAAATGTATACAACAACATGCTTTTACAAGTACTAAATCCACCCACAGCTAAAATTTGGAAAATCAACTTTTATAATGTGTCTAAGAAACTGAATTTGATTGATTGTGTTTAGAGTCGAGGAAACTTCTCTCTAAACACCTTTAACCAATTTTCATACAACTTCTTAGAAAGGATTGATCCACCACTTTTCTTTATTAACTGTTTTTAGCGATAGTGTCCGGTGTCCGTAAACGCGACATGATGGTAATGGGCATGGCACTAGTACCTACACGAACCACAACACCCACAGCCACGAACCAACGTCTAACGGCTAACCTACCACGTCCACGACGACCATCGATAAATAAAAAATCTTAAGTCTACCTGCATACTGACCATCGTGTAGGGGATCAATGGTGTGTATCATAAGTTGGAGGAGGCCGTGTCGAAACTTAGCCCCCGTATGGTGGTGGCTGGTCGCGGACGGCACCTGGGGGGTCTCTGACGCTGTGCGTGACGTCACACTGCCACCGGGCTGCGTCCCGACGCTCGTCTCGCTCGACGTCGCCACGGTGCCGTGCTGGAACAAGAAAAAGTACATTTGTTATTACTTTTAGTAAAACATTACTACAACATCATTTTAAACCTACTATTGCGTTGCAGACTGGTAACCACGCCCCTCTTCAACACACCAATTAGAGCCCGAAACGTGTGGTAAACGGGGAGGAGCTTGCGTCCGCCAATCGCACGCGATTGCAAAATACACGTATGAAAGTTGTTGCAGTGCGAACGCGAGGCCGTAAATAAAATATGACGCTCTTTAGTCTCTGTAACGTCTCTACTTCAAATAAACTCCGGCATAAATTTATTTGACACGTCTATTTCCCGAATTTACAATGGCGTACAGTAAATGTCGTCATAAAGCGGTTGTTACGAGGGCTCTTCTTCGCCAGTATCGAATAAAAATGCTTATTGCGTGGTGATGGAGACGAAATGGAAAAAATAACGGCGACCCTCCGGTAATCCACGTAAGTTTACACATCTTCGATGATCGACGAAAATTATCATACAGCACGAAGTTCAAGAAGGGCGGAGCGACACACGAGAAAAACAGACGAACGTATAAATAATAAAGTTTATCGATTGGGGAAGTTTGGATGAAGACGTGAAAGAAATTATTCGGGAGGAAACAATAAGCGACAAAGAATGGTCAAACGTTGTTTGTTTTGTTTTTTTTGTGCACATAGTGGGAAAATTTTATGGCGGAGTAAAATTGTTTTGTTGGAGAGCGGTTCCGCAGGTCCGGTGGTATTCCCAGTGTAGTTTGGAACGTGGAAGCACGTCAATAATACAGCAGCAACACTGCAGAAGGCAAGATAGGATATTTTTCGAGAATTCAACGACCGGTTTACAAAATTCACACATTTTACTAAATATAATAATAATATGTAGTGTCACACAAAATTATCATTTGCCGATGCATACAGTCCGTTTATATTATTATTATTATTAATATTATTATTCTCGTTATTGTGGGTATTATTTATTACATAGCCGATTTGCGTGTAGACGCAGAAAACAGCGTTGATTAAACCCGCGTCGAAAAACCTTAAACCTCAAAAGAGATATTTTCCAGCGTTAAGGGCGCCTCTCTCGCTAAAAAATGACGTCATCGCAGACTCCTTATCCGCCCAAGCCCGCTTAATCCGGCCGCCGCTCGCCCATATTTCGTCCATCAAGCTTGTTCCAGGCGAAATCCGCCATAAATATCCATGTAACGCACACCACAACATCTCATATCGGCCGACATATTCGCATGAAAAAGCTCCAGGACAACTGCACAAAGCGGTCAGCTACGAGCCTAATGGGCTTAACGACCCATGAAAGTGCGTCTGTTCGTACATTCAGCACTGGCGTTCCATCGTCCGAAAATTTTAATTCGTTTTTTAAAAACATTTGTTGGCACACTTCCTATTTTACAATATCTAGATTTGCGCATTCGGGGTGATGTATGTCTTGGCGTTTTCCGATATTACGTGAATTCCGGGTCGGTCTCGCAAATAATTTATTCCGGTCGGCGGAGATAAGCGGGTCGCCCTTCGCAATAACATGTCAAACGGGGCGATTTTTCGAATTCGGCGCCGGTTTATGGGCCGAGGTTGTCGCGGTCAGGGTGGTAACGCGGGAAATAATAGAGAGTTTTGGGGTGGTTTTCTGTAACGATGATTTTTTATGGAGATAGCCACTGGCACTGATACTGTGGTAATGTCCGTCTGTAATTTAATAATGTAAAGTCTGTTAAATTTTATTTATTCATTCCCTTTAGAAAGTTGAAGACGTTAACCGATGATGCAAACGAATTTACCTGTTACGTTACACTATTTTGTGTATTGTATGTGGAAAAGTGTTGAAGTATCGTAAAACAGTTAGTTTTAGCACCACTTAGATTTTTTGTTGCGGTGTTTTGTGGACGCACAGATTTTGGTTAAAATTTGGGAAACCGGGTCAAGGCGCCTCTTAGTGGCGTCCGGAGCCGTTTGGTCTCCTTAATCCGAATAAACGAAGGAATTTTTGTATAATAACCCAATCTTGGCTCGTAAATAAAGTGAAAGCTTTCTATTTAATTTTTTCCAATAGTTTTTCTCCGGTCTGGGGCAAGGACACGGATTATAGAAGTTGGGAGGCGTCCAAAAATGCGGAGCTTTTCCAATATTTTTTTAGATAAAAACCCGAATCTTATATTGTCCGATATGAGACATATCTCAAATGGAGGGATCTCTGCGCAATTATTTTATAACCCCTTCTATCCTATACGAAACTCAATAAAACCATAAAGAATATGCTTTATTAACTTTAATACGGAGTGTTTTATCTCCGCTTTCTCATTTTCGTGCGTCCGAACCGCAAGCTCCAAATTAAACTGATAATCCGACGTCGGGCTCGAAATAGGTCATCGTTTTGGTGTGCCGCGTCTTTTCGAACCGTCAAACATGCGAAGCTTTTAAAAAATATCGCTGTTGCAAACCGCGGATGACAAATAAAAATCGATGGAAAAAATTTGAATTTTTGAAGCATTAAATTGCAAATATCCAGCTTATTATTCATTTAGGACGAAGTAATAAATATTTCTTTTGGCGTACGTATCCTGGCTAGAATGTTGATTTGTATTCGAAAAATTTCATTTAGAGACGGAAAATGTGTTCTTGCAGGAATAATTGAGCAGGGAATGGATGATAAAGCGCTTTATTACAAGTAATGACCAGAGACGTGTACAGGGGAGGCGGAGGAATTTTTATTTGTTGAATTCTCATAAATGAATTTTTCATTATACGCCCATAATCTGATATAAAAAAGACACAATTTAATTTAAAAGCCAGAGGAATGCGAACGAATTCTACGCAGTTCCAAGGTTTTTAAGCGTTAGTTACAGAAGTCACAAAAAATTGTAATCGGCATTTTTTTTTATCATTTTACTTAAAACGCGAAACTTATTTTAATTTTAGTGATCCTTCTGCTTTTACACTAATAATAATAAACACTAAACAGACGATTGTCCGAGAAACATAATTTGTAATCGAGTCAGCGTTGGAACTGAATCCGTATGTCTTTTCTGAAATATTACGTTTAAAGCTGCATCTAAAGCTCTGTCAATAAAAAGTTAGCAATAAAATTAATTTTAATTTGCGATGATTTTGTAAAAATAATATGTTAAATGGACAACCAAAAAAGCAAAAACTAAGTTTTTTATAAACCTATTTTTAACTTTGATTTAAATTTTAGGTCAATTTATTAATCAACCTCGCTGTGACTTTAACAACTGTCAGATGAAACGTCCCTTCTAACCTTACTTTTCTCGTACAGTTAATACAAATAATATTGATCATCATTTAAAGTTGATAGTTACTGCGATGTATTACTTTTTTAAGAACACATCGACATATTAGAAGCATGAGGACAAAAAATAGGATGAGATAGAGTAATAAAATACAGGATGTTCCATTTGAAAAACTGAAATATCGATGTTCGAAATTTGTAAAAAAATTTGATTTATAAATACTCTGTCTATTAAAACTTAACAACAAAGGGCGTACCTTTATTTATCTTTCCACAAAATATTGTAAGATAGAATTTTAAAAAGAACCCTATTGCGATTTTTTTGTGAACCCTTCCACTGCCAAAAAATTCCAAGAAAATTGGAATAACGTGGCAACGTCGCATTAGAATTTTTAAAATGTAGTTGTAAAACCTAAGACGAGGTCATGTAAATACATAAAAATATATAGAGTGTTTCATTTAAAAAAACTAAGTTGTGTGATGCATCTTAACACTCTGTATGTTCAAAAATAATCTAGTCCCCAAAGAACGGTTCGACTTTGGTCTCTGACTTTCTGTCTATAACTAATAATAATTAATGAGGTAATGGAGACCGCGCTCTTAGTGACTCACCCTGTATATTTTAGTCACAGTAAAATGGAGCAATCCTATAGTTTTTCTGTAGTTCTTATTTTGAATACCTAATAATGATAATAAGTAGTAATAATAATTTACCTCCGGCTGTAAATTCGTGATATTCGCTGGAAATTCCGGGCTCCGGGCCCCGGCGAGCGCCACTTCAAACCTCGACCCTTAACACGACCCTGCCCATTAGCCGGAGCCCCAACAGCCCGGCGCCTTCTTTCGGCCGCCGATCTCTGATCGCAGCCCGCATTACACACGCCTAATTTCCCAAAAGAAATTTTTCCGCCAAGAGCTCCGGCTGGATTCCGGGCCCGGACCTTGACTAGCTTTTGGCGCGATCTCTCGGTTCTGCTATGGCCTACTACGAACGCGACCAATCGATAACTTGAGCAGCTGCTGAGGTCGAACAATTCCTGCTGCATCGAAAAAGCTCAAAGCTCGCTATCCGCGAGCTCAACTTTTTATTGCCGGAGCGACGGCCGAGGGACAACGGAAGCGATTAATTACGATAAGATACACATTGCTCTTGTTTTTGCGTCGGCAAAGCCGGCTTTACAGGGGAGATGTAACGTGAGACGGCTTTACGAGGCTGTAAACGGCTTTTTTATTTTTTCTAGTGTCTGCTGTCGAAGTGAGCTTTGTGTTTGCGATATCTGGTTTCTAAAGGAACATTGCAGTGAAAGGATGAGAAAACTTTTAAAGATCAGGCTGTTAACGGAAAATTGCTGGCGCAGTTGCCGCAGGAATTAGTTTTATCATACAGTTTCGCGGTACTTTAAAACGGATTTAAAAATCGTTACTAGAAAAAATTGTGTAAACGTCTCGTGTGCGGAAGTTTCCGTTCGTGAATAAAATCGATTTTTATTCATTGTGGCATAAATAATTATTCTCTTGGAGATTTTTAATCTAGTGAATAAATGATGGCAATTAAAATTAGGGTTGGAAGGGTTTGAGTAATTTATTAATTGGTGTTCGAATTGGAAGTTTGAGGAAAAATTGATGTGGGCCGCAAAGATGTTGTGTATCGTGTGGGTTTACGGGTTGTTTTATGGGTGCTTGTGTTTTAGTACGAACGGCTATTTGTCGTTTTGTTGTGATAATTTATGCAGGAATTACGGGATGTGTTAAATTATTCACTGGATTGCTTTATATATTTTTCATGTTACAGAAATAACGATACGCGTTTATGACGTTGAGAGTGGTAGTAATCTAGGTAGATTTGTTTATATTCGTGAGCTTTGAACTATATCTTTGAAATTATTTTCCTGCTTTTAGATATTTATTATTTAAATATTTTCAAATATTATTCGTTTTGAACTACCCTATGTATGTTTATGCGGTTTTCAGAATTTGCTTATGTGGTGTTTGTTTTTTCTTATTTTTGTTTAAAATGTTTTATTTCACTTCTTTCGCACATATTCCATTTGAAATTAAATTCGCTTTAGAATTTTTTGGATAAAGTGAGTGAGCGTTGACAAATTGTGTACAATATAAATTAAATTCCAATAACTTATAAGATGGTTCTTAACGTACTTAAGCCAGTTCAGTGAATTTCAATTAATTTCATTAGTTCAAGCTTCATAATTAATTAAATGTTTCCCGAAATCCTCAATCATTTGATGAATAGATAAATAATGCAATAGTAATAATATTTGTGCTTAATTTCGCGATATCGCTTTAAAAATAGGAATTAATGCATTTCTATGCAAAAAAATTATTGTTCAAATCTGTACGAAAAGACGTTAACTTGGTTAAATGTGTGCGTGTTCTATTTTGATCAGATCCAGATATTTAAAGGAGTGCATTATTTCTTCTAAAATATAATATTTTCCGTAAAAATATCTAGAACTTTTAAAAATAAATATATTTGAATTAATTATCCCGGCGCATCCACCAATTTTCCGAGAAATTAATATTAGCTCGGTCGTATTAGGAGTTATTTTTAGTAAAAATTTTTTCAGAAATATGTGTGTAGTTTCGGCATATCACTTCAAAAAATAGAGACGCCTGGATTAAGGAGATTTAATAAGACAATTTAAACAAATCAACACTTTCATGATTAATAGAACCCGATTGATTAATTATAAATAATATTGATGTATTTCCACAAAAACCAGTGTCATTCACAAACATTACATTAGAAGTTCTGATGCCTGCTTTCTTTCGTTACCCAAAACTTCTATACTAACTTTTACATCACACACGATTACGTTAAATATCTTCACGTAATCTCCGAAAATATTGGACTGATTGTTGTCAAATTTTCTGCGTATAGTAAGAATACCATGTAGATGGTTAAACGCTAACCAACATTTGGTTAAGCATCCCCACCAACAACTTGATGACGTCTTTTCAAAGAATTCTATTTTAAAATAATTTAAATATGTATTATACAATATTATACTCCTATACTTGTGGTATATGAATCCGCTTTGAAAAAATTAACACACTATAATAATATTTTACCTCTAACTCAGGACACAACCGATTGTGATCAAGTGGTCAATGCGTCGTTTTTTCTCTTTTTCTCTCACGCTGTGTATTATTGATTTTTATGACGTGTTAGCACATTTTTTATTGATTAAATTAAGAACGAGACACCACATTTTCTCGAAAATGTGAGACTACGCATGTCTTTATTTCATAAAAGTTATAATAATAAGTTTTACAACATTCTCTTCGTTTCTGGCTTAATTAATAATTTTAGTCCTCTGTTTTGAGGCGACAAACTTATTAAAAAAAAAAAATTTCTACGTGATATTAGCTTATTATTGCTGAGAGTCCATTTTTTCCCGTTGGTTATATTTTACATTGTCCGTAGTTCATAGAGGCTATCACAAAATGAATATTGCAGTATCTAATTTTATAATTTTTCAAAGAAGCGGGATTTCTTGGACTTGTACTTCAGGAACGAGGGATAAATATAAAATAAAATAAAAATTTTACATACATTTTTCGAAAAATGAAAAGTCAGAAAAACTGTTGCTATGCAGTAATTAAACAGGATTAACTCAGCTGTCAATATCTGTCAAAAACCTATTTTTCGTCGCACGCTCTACGTCCCTTTGGACTAAAATTTCACTTCCCGTGTCATCATGTCCGGAAAAGCACAATGGTTTACTCCCACAGCGGCCATGAAAAACAAAGCGGAAGTGTGGACGAAACTCGAAAACAGTGGATGGGTAAGTGAAAATATTAATCTTGTGATACCACAAAATAACCATTTCCACTGCAACCATTATAGCCGAGCCCACAAAGCGCGAAAACTCTAAATAATGCAGAGATCCGTTGACGTTTAATCATTTTCAGTCGATATTTTAAACACCACTTTGAAATTTATTATTGAAGCCGCCGGGAATCCGCGAATAAAGCCAACCACCGCTCGTTCTGAAGCAAATTCTCATTTTTCTAGCGCACACAGTGATCACAACCCGGAAGTTTACATTTGAAAATTAGTTTTCCAAATTTCGGAATTATCCGATACAGCAAATAAACACTTCACCTCGTACTGGTTTCGGCGACTCCCAGCTCCCCCAAAACGCTCCAGCAAAACGGCGCCATCCATCACTGGCACGTTCGACTCATCACCCATTGAATTTACATACATCCAACATTAATTTTCGCACAGGAATCGCACCGTTGAAAGCAAACCGAAATTTAATTAAATCAAAGCAAATGGGAGTTGGCTCGAGTTGTGTGTGAGTTTTAAGCCGGTTTATGCACCTTGGAAGTATTCCTAGTCGTTCGTCATGATTTATCGTGGAAAACAGCAAAACTTTCATAATGGCTCGTTGCTCCTGTATCGTATCGATGAGAATATAAGGTCTGAGAGGCTTATTATGTTTGTATAACATCACCGGAGCGGAAGAGAATCGCAGGAGTTTGAGTGAGAAAACTTCATTTTTAAGACGATTTTATGCGGATGCAGCAGAAGGGGGAACCTAAACTGAACAAATGGGGCGGCGATGGGAGGAGATGACGATTCGCGAAGTAGTCGAGCTTGTTGGATATTTTTGAGAGTGCTCAGGGTAACCACGTGGAAACTTATCTGTGTTAAGGCACGTGTGGCTCACTTTCAGCACATCGCGTCAAAATGGCTTCCTATAACGCTCAAAATGATTCGTACTATAAAGTAATAGTAGAAATTTGAATAATATTAAGAGTTCTATGTTATGCTACAAAGTAGTTAGATATCGCCCTAAATATGCGAATGTACAATGTAGCATATAAAAAAATATATGGTCGATGCTAAGAATGGTGGATATGTAGTTAAGGAGTTTTCTCGTATAAAACCATTATCTCCATACGCAATTAGAGTAGGGGAACTAGGGGCTTGTTGTAACAGGGGTAAGTTGTAACACTAAATTTTTACCCACAATTTAAACTCTTTAACGTCAGGTATTTTACTGAATTTAATTCTTGCACCATAAGACATCATGTCATCACAACCACTGTTCCTTGAGCCAGCGCAGTGAGTGGATGTGTGCACGTGTTTCGTTTTGGCCAAGTAATGTAAAATATTGCTTTAATAAAATTTGGTTTTTCGTATCAGTTATTAATTAATTTAAAAATTTTAGTTTTGCATGTAGCTCAAAAATTACTCAGCTTTGATATTCCTTACACATTTTGACGCTAAGCCACATCATTTTGTCGAAATGTAATTAAATGTAGAAAATTGTGCTACGGGGCATGTTGTAACAATAGCTTTGGGGCAAGTTGTGACATGTTACAACTTATCCCAAATTCACTTCTACAAATCTCGTACCTAGCATACGAAAAGCGAGCAAAAATTTTGACCTATGCCATATATCGCTTTCCAGATATATTAAGAAAAAGGAAGACAACACTCAAATTTTTAATGTTGACTCTTTTTCTAAAAGTTTATTTCAGTTTTACCGAAAAAAAATTATATATAATGAAGTGTTGTGTTGATTTTTGAAAAATAAAGTCTAAATATGTATCAACATCACCTTTATTTTTACTGGTACTACCTGTCTCATGGCTGTTACAACTAGCCCCAACCACGGGGCAAGTTGTAACAATGCACTTTTTTTAAGAAAATGCCTGGTGTGAAATGAAGATGAACAATTTTGACCTTTTGCCTGTTCAGTCCAATAGGGGAATAGTTAGACTACCGATAGATACTTTTATAATGGTCAAACAGCTAATAGATACCAAATTATATTCGTTTTCCTAAAAACTGTTACAACAAGCCCCTCGTTCCCCTACCTCTTTTGGCTTATCTTAATAATTCATAAAATCTCTCCCAGAGTCGAGAATTCCTTTCTTAGAAATTGTAGTTATTCTGCTAGATAGAAACTCACAATAATAATAATATTAATAATAATATGTAACACTTCAGAAACCTCCTAAACACGACACCTCGAAGCCCATGACGTATTTCAATAACACGACAAAGGTCCACGAACGTACCCCTGAATACGACCTATTTTTTGCCTATACGAAAGTCTTCCCATTGTGGGATCAGAAAAAGCTCAAGGACAACTGTCAGAACAAGAGAGACATCTGGGAGAACATCAATGAACAGGTAAATGCGGTAGATAGGCAATAAAAAACGAAAGTAGATTTTAAAAAATCCATATAAAGGAGTCTATAACTACAAAAGCCGTTTATTTATAACCGCCCCCTTAAGGTTGCGACAACCCTGTGATCAATACTCGTTATTTATGTATCATTTGCTTTTACGTGCAGAGAAGCGACGCAACAGATATACACTTAAATTACCAACGAGGCTTCCACTGTTTCAATTTTAAATTAACTCCGCTTCGCTTAAACAAACTACTCCGACGTCTCCGTGCGTGAAAACCTGAAATTTTGGCGCACTTCGCAATGGCGCAGATAATGTTGAGGTTATGTCGGTCTTAGTATGTATGGTATACTGCGGTGTAATCCCCCAAAAACAGTTTCAGTGCGTCCCTTCGCAAATACTTGAAAACGAAAATTTGAAGATCTCTGTTTATGGTTCCTGATGGGTTGAAGACATTTTGCCAAAAACCGAAAATCATATTTCCCCCGCAGCCTTTACCACCCCCGCCGCCCCGATCAATCACAATCCGTCCCGCCCCTCCCAATTACCGTCATAAAATATTCCTCTTCCGTAATAACGCTTTCCAATTTTGGTCCTGAGCGCAAGTCGATAATAATTCATCTCGGAAGTGTCGTGTCGCGACCCATTATATCCTCGAATCACCTCCGTCTATGTTTTGCCTTTGCCGGTAATTGCGAGCTTTGCCGATTTCTTCAAGAATAAATTGGATAGGTCGAGCAGCGCCGCCGCCCCCGAACAACCGGCTGGTAATTTCGGCACTGTGACGTCATTCGGTTCTCGTTCCTGAGCAGGATCGGGATTAAACGTCACGGCCCGCATGCATGCACGCCGAAAAAGACAAACAGGGCTTCGTGTTTGGTCGTTATTTAGCGAGGGGCGGCTTAAAGAGTAATTTGCGTGGAATGCCACGTTTCGACTTTAATTATGGACAAATATTGCGTTGATTGTTTGCCGGGCGCTTACGGTGGACGCGTGCACGTGGACGCGGGTAAATTAAGCGGTTTTCGCGAGCCGGGGGCGGGAGGCGGGAGCGGCGAGATAAACAATGCATCACGGATTCGAAAAAGAATGCATGTATTGTGAAAATCCGTTCATATTTTATCATTTTCCGCTGCATATATCCAGATATTAAAAGAAATGTGCCACATAAAAATAACAATAGTGGATTTTATGAACAGGAGAAAAATAATTCTGTCCGAAACAGCGGCAACATTTGCCAAAAATATATATGTAATATAAGAAATGCGAACAAGAAAAAATTCTAAACTTAAAAGTCATTGACAAAATTTTCAAGAGATTGTGTATCATAAACTTCACTCAGGGACAGGGTTTTGGCTACAGTTGAATGTGATAACAATTGTAAAATTTACAACATGTCAAATAATTGTTCAAACTCATATCAAACCATGGTACACACGGCATAATGAAAACATGAAAATTTTGATCATTTCTCGGTGGTGATTCCTGTAGTAAGTTAATGGTAATGAAGGATCATCAGAGTCACCTTGATGAGCTTCACAAGACTCATGAATGTTAGTGCCATAGGCTAGTTTTATCAAATTCAGATTTATCTGATAAAAAATACATCATCTAACAAAACTAAAATTCAGATTAAAAAAATTTCACTGCTTCTTAGTGTAGACTTGCTAGAAGATACAAATTCTGATAGTGATTCTCTCAATCAAATTTGATAACTTTATACAACCGTGATACAGAGTCCTCAAAATTGAATGAAAGAATTTGTACTTCCTGTTTTTGCCGTCAAGTTTGATAACCTTATGGCAGATTTGTGTAAGTTTATGTCGCAATTAATCCAGTGACACCACTGAACTCCTCCAACAATTTAAACCCATCCTTAAACTTTGAAAATTCAAAATACATTTTTAAACGCATGCTGTAATTTTAAGTAATTATAAAAGGCAACCTTCTTTTTAAATTTTCAGAATCAATTTGCAAAAAAACACCTAGTTTATAATTTTGTTAATTATAGGAGCTTGCAGTTGCTCCAGGGTAATAAAAAGTTTTCTAAAAATGTTCTTTTTGAGATGTCCGGTAGGCCATGGTCCTACTCTTCCGGGAAAAGACAGCTCCATCCTGTTAGAAGTAAACTCATTTAATTGGTTTACGAAGTTGTCCAAAATGGGTAGCCAATATCGGTTAGCATTTATTGTTTAATTGAAGAAAATTTCTTACATCGTTTGTGTCATTTTTAGAATTTTTTAGTGAATTCGTCCCTAAGACTTTTATCAGTTTGTTTTGTGTCTATCTTTACCAATAGTTTAGTTTCTTTAACGTCAATACATTGAATGAGAAAAGTAAAAAACACCAACAAATAATCATGATTTTCTAATGAAATGTTATACACAGGCTAAGGGTTGTCAAATCAAGAACTGATTAGAACTTCGACACCATCTGTCCACTTCTTGCAAGGAAAACATTTTTACTTCCCGAGCGTAAACAAAGGAAGTATTGTAATCGAGTCCGTCGGCCGACTCTCTACTTTTGCGCTTTCTCCACCTTTTATGACCCCTAGAGTACAAAGAGATAGGTCTCTCTTTTCCGTCCGTCTGTCTGTCTGTCTATCTGTTTGTCTGGTGTCTGTGTCCATTTTTAGACACGTAATCTCTGAAACTCATGGACCGATTGTTGTCAAATTTTGTATGTAAATTATAAATATCATGTAGATGATTAAACGCTAACCAAAATTTGGTTAATCATCCCCACCAACAATTTTATGACGTCATTTCAACGAATGGTACTTTAAAATGATTTAAATGTTAGACAAAAATATACTCATATACTTGTAGTGTACGAATCCACTTTCAGTTTTTTCGTTAAACTTTCAAATTTTTGCAAAAACGTTTGCAAGGTACGTTTTATACCCAACGTATTTTACGGTACTGCAATTGTGGGTTCCACGTTGAACTTTGCCCTTCCCTTTTATTTACTTGCATTGATATAACACTGTGATAAAATAAGAATTAGAACATTCAGAACATTTTGTTCGATTGTGGTTTAATTAATAATAATTTTAGTCCTGTTTTGAGAAGACTAACTCGTTCAAATGAAACTAATTTCTACGTGACATTCTTTCGATGCATAAACACACATAAAGACTTGAGCTTCAGATTGCTACTAATCGTGCTGAAGGACAAGGGGTATTATTTATCCCTATGGTTTTTACTTTACAGCGGTTATCACAAAACGAAAATCGTAAAATCTAATTTTATATATTTTTTAAAGAGCTGGATTTGTCGGATTATATTATAGCCTTCGACCAATTTTTTATTTTTATGATCAAATAAGAATAACAATAATCATATTAAAAACATTTCGTTCCATTGTGGCTTAATTAATAGTGTTAGCTTTTGTTTCGAGAAGTTCAAATTAAATAAATTTCTACGTGATATATAAACATAAACAATCGAAGTTAAGCATGTACATTGATAATAACACTCTTTTCCGTTAGTTTATATCTGCGGACGCACCTCCTTGGCATTTGCACCTCTGCGGCGCAGGGGGTTGGAGATGTCATTTACACCACTGGTTTTTACTATACATATAAAGATTATTATTAGAAAACACATTTTTTTTATAATTTTTCAAAGAAGCTGCTGCGGGAACGTATAGTCTCTGGACTTAGAAAATTCATTCCTAATTATCAAAATCCGGAATTACCAGTAGAAACTGTTTGGTTTCACCAAGACGGTGCTCCACCCCATTTTGGACATCAAGAGCGACAGTACTCAAATGAAATTCTTCCTGGCAGGTGGATAGGCCAAATGGGTACTATTGAGCGGCCTGCCAGGTCACCGGATTTGACACCACTTGAATTTTTTCTGGGGCTATTTGAAGAATTGCGTTTATATCAATAAACCGATTCACGAACTCACTACAAAATTTTATTCAGCGTCTTTTTTACTGCCAGGAAGTAAATGGAGAGCATTTTGAGCATCTTTGCTAGAAAACAAGTTTAATTAAGTTTGGGTTAAGTTTGGGTTGTTATTGGTTAATTTATTTGTTGTTTAATATTGATTAAAATTATAATTACTAATTAATTTAATTATTGTTTGACAATTTATTTTGCCATTTCAATTAGAAAGAAAGTATAGCTGTATTTTAAATTTACCTTTTTCCACTAGATAACTTTTGTTTAAATCAGAAATGTTAATTTTGACATTTAGAAATCCTTTTTCACTACGGTTGTATCTAATCCAACCAGGTTAGAATAGTCAACTTCAGCTACATCTAATCCCAAAATGATGATATTATTTTTTCTTATTAACTTTTATTAAGCAGTGTATTCTATTTTTTAAGTAATTATTGGTTTAACTTTGATATTAAGACAGGGTGTTTAAGTTGTTAAATTTTTGTATTTAAATATTTACTTAGCTTTTGTACTTCATTAAGAAGATGAGTGCTGGTGATACTCATATTAGAGTTACCCTTGTATAAATCGCCTGTATAGTAAACACAAAAGGACAAGGATACTTGGCACCTAGGGACCGATTAAGGTGATTGACGTGATGATACAAGAGAGCCACGGAACGCGGACAGTGACCTAACACGGTATATAACTAACACACGCCTCAATAGTTAGCCTTGATTTGAAGATTTCTCTTTATCACTTTGTAAAAGCAGTGATAAAACCCAATACGGAGAATTAATAATAATAACACATTAACAGTAAAGTTTTATTCTAATAATACATATATTATTCTCCACCGGAGCTTTTTCGGGACCCATTCCAGGTCTACTGCAGTTTCTAATTTTTCTCAAAGACTTCACCAAGCTGCGAAAGTAGAAATCTCACACCATCGTCTGCTTCCAGGAGAAAAACAAGCCCATCCCGATCCTCAGCTCCTTCAACTACGGCCTCGCCGCCCGCGCCCACCTCGAATACTTCGACCCCGCATTTCGCCGCATCCATGCCACCGGCGACTTCCAGCGTCGCCATGGCGTGCAGCCAGTAGAAGAGAAAGAGCCCCAATAACAATAAATTCTTTTTCGATATGTCGTATCGATTTTTATTCAGCGTCGAGGCAGGTGGCAGAGATAAAAGCCGACAGATATTGCGTCTCCCTTCGCTCCACGTCTTGCGGACTTCCTGAAGAGGGTCAACGGCGGCTCTTAATTGAAAACTCCGCTGCTGCCTCAGCCGCCGTATCTGATGCGGGATCGGATTTACACCGCTAATTGTCGGCGGCGAGGTGTTTGTTTTCTTGGGGGTTTGCGCTTTCGATTGAGAGACGGGAAAGAGCGGCTGTCGGGAAATATGGGGAGGATGATGGCGGGTGTTATTTTTCGCCGGCGGCTTAGGGGATCGATCGGGCGACACTGGTTGCTCGGTGGATGGAAATGGGTTTTTTGGGTTGAGATGGGTGGAGGTTTTGTGGGGGATAATGGGAGTGTTGGCGGTTAAAGGGTTGGGCGGGATTAATGGGGGGTGTCTCCATATCAGGTCTGACGGGTGCTGGTGGCGGCTGCGAAGTCGCATTTTTCATATTTTTTTTATTGGTTTTTGTTTGTTTTCGTCGGTGTGGTTTATTTATTGCCGGTTTTATTTTTCGGGTTAAGTGGAGAGCTTGAAACGCACTCTAAGTAGAAGCGAACGCGGATTTTAATTGTTAGTTTTATTTTATTTTTTCGTGTGATTACCAAAATTACCAATCCGTTAAAGTCAATTTTTCGGGAACTAATTGTAAGTGTACTCAATTTCAAAAACTTAAAAACGATAATTCTTTCGATTGTCATTCGCTCTAGTCTTCTACCATTTTCTATCCTCTACTTAACATCTCACGCACACTTTATATTAGATTAAGCAGCAAAATATTGTTCTGCTGACCTTTTTTTCTGACATGATTTATTTTTTTGACTTTTGCCATATATATATATTTAATCTCTAGGATATAACTCACCACAGCTTGCAGTAAGTATGACGGAGAAGAATTATAGTACAGATTTTAGATGTATTGGAAGTCGATTCCACTAAACAATCTAAACGATGAAAAATAGTTTCATTTTTAAAAACAACAAAGAAAATCTTGACAAAAATTACTACTACACGTGGTACGATGACAATACCTTTCGCTCACTAATGAATTTAAAGACGAATAAAGACGTAATTTTTAATAGTAACAAATAAAACCAACAAAAATTTCACGTAAACGCAGTTGTTTTGTTACAAAATAACACATTATTTCATTTCAGTTTCTGGGAGTGAAATAATATTGTCACTAGAGTCTGGGATTTTGTAAGGTTTCATTTCTCCTCAGTGGGACTGACGTTTAATTTTGCCCATATGGGTAGAACCGACTTCTGGTTAAAGTGCGCCTCGAGACAATGGATTGGAACATTTCGTAAGGCGAAGAGATAATTTCGGTGTTCCGATCGCTCGGGTCGCCATACTGGGATCTAACATTTGATTTTTGCGTTTCCTTAGAGAGTTGTGTCTTGAGGTCGTCGGCCCTGGAAATGGAAAGTCGGCCTCTCAGGCCTTCCGCACGTTTACTTGCCTAGAATAATATATTTTGTTCCGTATGGTGGAATTCTCTTGGGCCACTTTGAAACAGTACATTTTTTATATTAAAGAAATCGTCTTGTGAAAAATATGATTATTTGTTTGATTTTGATAAAATTTCGACATTTCTGTTACTTCTTGAGTAAGGTTGAATTTTTAAATATTCGTGGTTTCAATTTTTTTCAGAAAGATATAAAATCAATCATTTGTATGAAGTAAAATTTCCACTGCACATTCTGCTTGTGTTGTTAATTACACTTACATAAATATAAAAGTGTCATCGTTTTTAAATATAGATGAAATATAGCTCGCTTCGCTCGCTAAAGAATCATAGGATAAATAGTGCTTTCGCCAGACCTGTAGCTCATTATGCTAGCTAAAATTTTTTTCTCAGAGACATTTATTTTGTACGAATAATATTTTGTAATCTACTAGCTGCTAAGATAAGACTGATCTTGGCAAATGAGATATCATCTAAGAAAAAAGAGGGCGCGTGGGCGGGGCTAGTACTTGCTAAGGTAAAACTGATTTTGGCAAATGACATATCCGCTAAGAAAAGAGAGGGTGGGTGGGCGGGGCTAGTACCTGCTAAGATAATTCTGATTTTGGCAAATGAGATACCCTCTAAGAAAAGAGGTCCTAGAATCTGCTAAGATAAGACTGATTTTAGCAAATGACGTACCCTGTAAGAAATTTAATTAAACAATTATAAGAAAAGACACTAGGGGCTCCAAAGTACTTTGAAATTCATTCCAAACAGGGGTATCTAGGACCTCAAGATTGTTTTAAATTTTTCAAAAAAAAAAACTCAACATTAACTCAAAAACAGGTCAGATCAGAATTTTCCAGAAACAGAGCACCAAGTCTCCCAAAATTGTTTGAAATAATTTACAAAAAAAATCTCTCGTAAAATGTAAAACACTAAAAGCTCAAAAGATTTCTTCAAGTTCATCCAGCAACAAAACACCAGATTCCTTTAAATTCATCCGAAAATAAAACACTAGGACCCAGTTTATAGAACGCGAAGTTAAAGTTAATTCACGATTAACTTTTAATTGAGGTTTGTTGCTCGTTAAACATCACAGTAAATGTTGAAAATGTTCATCATTTTGTTCAAGGCACATGTTCACTCTTTTTTTAATTTCAAAAATGTTCTGTAACCTGTAGCATCCTTTCGTCAATACTTTGGACCCGTTGTTCAATTGTTCAATTCTGCTCAAGTCATCTCAAATCTTCAACAATTTCCTCAGATAAAGTCTTCCACGAGATTTCTCTTCGTTGATACTGCCAGTTCGAACAAATCTGTTGACTGCATTTCTAGTGTGGGCCTTTAACGATGTTTCTTAAATTATTAAATCACGGTATTTGGCCAGATATTCTTGCTTACAAGCGGTTACACTCTTCGTTTACGAAGTCCCATTGCGATAACAAGACATAACGATGAAAGTGTCTTGACCAACAGAATAAACCATGTTCACAGTCTTCGCTTCCGAACACAAAAACAAAATTTTCGTACGCAACCACCAAGAGTTCTGAAAATGACTATTTTGTTGTTTTGAGCTTGGATCAACGAGAATTACTGTAATTCGCACTTGAAAAACATTAAAACAATAAAAACTACGACTTTAAATGACAGGATACAAATGACATTAAACATTAATGTGACAAGTGAGAACTGCAAAATGATGCATAATCACGGGCATAATTTCAGCGAAGCGGGATTTTTGAAATCCATGGCTAACTACGCCTTTAGAATCATTTATAAAAGCCCTGTATTGTTGTCAAATGGAATTTTATCAAATTATTACAAAAACATTACAACCATATCTTTGTACATTCTAACTGAAATGGTAATTAAACATGGTCATGGGCGAGATAAGAAAACTAAAAGTTTATATTGTGATAAATGATAATGAATGTGTTGTTTGGTTTTTAAACGTAGCAAAAGAACAAATTTTAAAATCATTATAACTCCACCAAAATATGTGTTTTTTATTATTTTTCCCAGACTCACTAGTTGATTGTTAAGAGCGTAGCGGAGAGTTAATCCCCCATTTTCCAGACACCCGGTATATGTAATTCCAAAAAATATCAATGGAATGATAAATCACAACGTAGACTCATTATATTTTAAATATTTTAGATAAGATTTATTGGGCAAATTTTAAGGGGATAAACAAATATATTTTGGTTAAAACGTCTACAAGATTTCAGAGCACTCCGTTTTGCAGTTTCAAAATTAGATTGCTAAATGTTTGTTATATAATTCTGTTTTTTTTTTCCAAAAATCTGCGTGTCTCGGGTAAAAAATCCACATGGATTCATAAACTACACGACTATTTTGATTATACAATTTAAAACCCATTTACTATGTAATTTTGAGATGACGCCATCACATTGTTTCTGATGATTAGAGAAAGTTTGGTTATCGTTTTACAATCTACATGATATTCATAATACTCATATAAAATTTGACAACAATTCGTCGGGTAATTTCGGAAATTATCTGTCTAACAAAAACAGAGACACACAGACAGAGAGACAGACGGAAACGGGAGACTTAAGTTTTTGTACTCTACTTTGAGAAAATGTGAAAGTAGCTAGTCGCTCGATGGACCCATTTACAATACTTGTGAAAAATATGATGGTTTAAATGATAGCATTTCCTCTATTATTTATCTGTTAACTCTGTTTATTTTGTCTCAAGAACCGACTCATGTTATAATTTTTTTCGAAATTTGTATTGTATATTTGAATAATTTATTTGAGTTTTTAAAAATTTTTGTTGTTTAGAGATTTATTTTACTATTTATTTTGCTTGTTTCCAAAGTTTTAACAGTGGACAGTGATTTTTCTTTTAACAATTGTTTTAAAGTGTTGCTTCCTGTATCTTTTTTTGTCTTCTTTATTATTATTATTATTTAATATTTATTGAGCTCACATCTCAGTTGTGTGAAAAGATTCAGAAGGAAGTTAAAATTCGAAAATGGAACAATATTTTTTGATTGTTTTACAATTCCTTTATTTTCATTAGATACATTTTTTGTGTTTATTACTGTTACAGATTTCGAACTTCTATTTGTTTAAACAACTAAGATACCCTTCTTAATGTTTGTGATTTTTTTTGGCAGGTTGGCGACATATTTAACATTTTAAGAGGGTATACCTGGTTATCAAATTGACATTTATTATTTTGTTTGTTAGGCGCGCTCAAGTCAAAATGATAATTGTGAACTGACATGCTAGCATTGCTACCAATAATTCAGAACTGCCAACACAAAAATTTGCTTCAATCTATACTATTGTGAAGTAAATGAATTTGGGACACTCGGTATACATTTTTCCAGAGAGATAGAATTGATTGCGCTTTGGTTGTTTGTTTACTTACTCTTGGTGAACTTTCATCAGTGAATAATAGTTTCGTAACAATAACTTATTTTGCGGTAAACCATCTTAGACATCATTAATTTTTGTTGAAATAAATGAGATCTCCTTCCGCCAGCAGATTTATTTTTTGGTTCTTTTACGAAACTTTGAAACTCTTGGCAGTTAGAACTTTTCCCATTTTTTAAATTTCTTTTTTTCCTGGCAGTTATAGGTCATAGACACTGAATTTGTCGGCTTTTCGATGACATTACCCTACCACTTATTAAAATAGTAAAACTGAAACCGATTCCTGCACAATGGTCTTCTAAATCTAATCTTTACAGCGAAGCTATTGTTTACATTCTTTTGATAAAGTCCGTTTACGCAAAGTAAAGCCCCTATTGTGCTTTCGCTCGTATATATTTAATTATATAATGAAATTTTTAATAGGTTTCATGTTGCTCAAAATTAATTTTCTACAAAAGAAAAAATGTAAATACGTCTTTAAGTAAATAACATTGTATTTGTTTACAACCTGAGCTGCATTTAATAAGACGAAGCTCCTTTAATCTAAAAAGCAAAAATTTAATTACGACGTAGTTTACTCCTAAATGATCACGTTACTGGAAAGAATGTTTTCAAGTACTCGGTTGGCTTCGCGCAGCAACCGCAAACTGGTTCGTTACATATTGTTCTCTCTATATTTTCTATCTCTGTTTTAGTAATAAACAAAATTTGATCTCCACTACAATCTAGCTCCATTTCTGTTACATCTAACACAAACCAACAATCCCAACGCATGCACAAGAGTAAATAGCTCGACCCAACCACACGATCAAAGTTGAAGAAAAAGAACACGTTCGTATCGATTGTAGTTTTTAATTTCCACATTCCGGCTTTCTCGACTACAATCAAACGAAGCGCTCGGCATTTCCAGTCTTTGAAAAATGCAACCAACAACTACAGGAATCGGACAAAGAGAATCAGTAGAGTATTTAGAGTTGCCTATTCTACCTGTAACAACCACCATCAACATAAAAACACCCAAAACACAACAATCGGGATTAGAGCGCCACTCGCTCCCGCAGGACTAGCAAGTGTCGCTCTACCCCTCGACATCGAAACGGACAGGTTAGAACAACAGAGGTGAACCGAGAAGGAAGAAACGAAAACGAAACACAAAGGTAGGCAACAGTATAAATACTCTACTGACCTTGCTAGAGTCTAAAATGACACTGACTGACGTCGACTGAAAAAGAAAAAAAATGTAAATATAAATGTAAACATCAGTCGAGAGGCGGCCAACGAGCTAACGACCCGCGAGCTCGTGGGTCCTTCACCCATCGCCACCATGAACGTGTTGCGCGTTTGTCAAAATCGATTGGTGTCAAGGGCGGCGTGGTGTCTTTTAGGCAGAGTTCTGAAATCGATAGCATGCAGGTGATAAGCAGAGGAAGCGATGGAGGCGAGGAAGGAGAAAGCTGCGTTCAGATCGGACTCACCAGAGCTTGAGCGGCCGTTTGGTGCTGGAAACAACGAAGCATACATTTAGTACACAAACAGGAAATACAGATAAGAGATAGTCGTTAAGCTAATGGAACGGAAGAAATAAAAGTGCGAATGTACAAGCAATGGCGGCGCGGGTCACAGACAAGATGGGCGAGTTACGTGGGGCAAGTTGAGGTGGTGCGACAGGGTCGGTCAAACCGGGAGAAGTAACAAGTCGCAGAAAGTTTTCAAGTTGCTAAAGGGCAGAATGCGTGTAAGCGGTGGGCAGACTTGGTCTTAAATTCATTGATTTTTAATAGCTCTAATTTTATTATCGTAACTGGTGTGTTGCTACACGGCTAATCCTAATAAGGTGCACTTAACAAAAACGACAGCAAGTGATCATATTCGATGGTCGTATTTTTTTTTGTCAAACTGAATTTGCTCTAAAGAATAAAAATACAGTTGAAGGCCACATCGTCAACAAAAATAACCGGACATTGACTTACCACGTGACTTTGCTGACTGTCAAATCGCACCCTATAATAATATCATCATTTATAAAATAAAGTTTCCGCCATTTCTACATGTCCATTTGACAAAAAGTAAAACCGGTTACACTACTTGCTTGGGTTTTTTTTCACTACTGTTAACAGTGACGAGATTTGAGGTTTTATTGAAAAAAGTGCAAAATCATTTTACGTTTCGTTACGGTCAAGTTTTCTGACGTTTAAAAGAATTTCACAGTTTAAAAAAAACAAAACCTCATAAGTGGTTCGAACGTGCGACCTTCCCATTACAAGTTGGGGATGTTAGCTCTTGGGCAATGATTATTTTAGTATTAAAGGTTATTATACAATTCGGATTTTTTTGCGAAAATTTGGATGCCTACGTTAAAAACTCAAGGTGGACTCATAAATCACAAATATGAGAGTATCTTAATTATAAAATTTAATTAACAATTGTTATTTATGGAATTTTTGATGGGGTTGATCAGACAAATTTTGGTCAGCGTTTTACGATCTACACGATATTCTTAACCAGTGTCGAATTGAGGACCTGGGGATCCACCGGGAAATTTACAAAGTAGGGCCCTATATGGTAATGTATGTTTAGATATCAAGACCCACCACTGACCCGGAAATAACCGGCATTCAGGCAAGACTTCTATCATTACGGGTACTAAGACCAAGTAATGATATGCATTGATTAGATTAACAGAACAACTTTCGAGATTCTAGAATTACAGCATACAAATTAGTCTGCTATTATTCTCTAATCTCACCCCATCCCCAAAAGTCCAGCGTAACTACCGACCATTTATCCGCGCATCACATGAAAAGTGACCTACACTACTCTGACCTACTGGTGCTAATCTAATCTGACTGACATGATCAGACTGTTCAAGAAACTTACGAACAATATGACATGTTCCTAACAAAACAGCTTTTTGAATTTTGACAATTATTGAATCATTCAAATGCAAAGACTTTAAATTCTCAACTAAGCTATTTGGAACTACACCTACATTAGAGATAACTAGGGGTAGAATTGAAATTTTTTTAAGATTCAACATGGATTTCATTTCTATCGATAATTGTAGATATTTTGAAATCTTGGTGTCGTATGTTTGAATAATGTTGTTTGTGTTAGGAATAGCAATGTCAATGAGAATGGCTTCGTTCGTGTGTTTTTTGATAAGTATGATGTCTGGTCTGTTAGCTGTAATGTTTAAGTCTGTAAGTATTGTGCGATCCCAGTATAATTTGTATTTGTTATTTTCAAGGAATGGAGACGGAATGTAAGTGTAATATGGTGTCGTATCTTCGATTAAGTTCATAAGTGTTGCTAATTCTTTGTGAATGATTTTGGCTGCGTTGTCGTGCCTAGCTTTGTAATCAGTTTGTGCTAGGATGCTGCAAGAAGAGATTATGTGCTGGATCGTTTCAGGTTTTGCTTTGCATAGGCGACAGCAGTCGTTTTTTATGTTCGGATCTTTGATGATGTATTTTCTATAATTCTTGGTATTGATTACTTGGTCTTGAATAGCAAAAACAAATCCTTCTGTTTCGGCATACAAACTTGATTTTTTTAACCAAATCAATGACATCTTCTTATTGACATGATTTTCTTCTAAGTCTTTGTAGAATTTTCCATGCAGTTGTTTTTGTTTTAGCCCACTTATTATTTTATCTATTGTTTGGGGGGTGTGGATTTCTTCGGTGTTCGACAGATTTAAGGGTGTGTGGTTCAAATCTGCTCTTGTGATGGTGCGAAACATTTCATTTCTTTCCGCTCGTTTCAAGAAATACTTCTTCAAATCTGAAATTTGTCTCTGATATAAGTTTTCTAAGTTCTGGAAACCCCTTCCTCCATTCTGTCTTGGTAATGAGAATCTTTCAATCGACGATTTTGGGTGATGCCTTCTATACTGTGTGAAGATTTTCCTTGTTGCGATGTTTAAATTTTCAAGATCAGTTTTGGACCATTTAATGACTCCAAAAGAATATGTTAGCAGTGGAACGCAGAATGTATTTACTGCTTTCATTAAATTTTTTCCATATTAAGACCCACCACTGACCCGGAAATGACCGGCATTCAGGCAAGACTTCTATCATTACGGGTACTAAGACCAAGTAATGATATGAATTGATTAGATTAACAGAACAACTTTCGAGATTCTAGAATTACAGCATACAAATTAGTCTGCTATTATTCTCTAATCTCACCCCATCCCCAAAAGTCCAGCGTAACTACCGACCATTTATCCGCGCATCACATGAAAAGTGACCTACACTACTCTGACCTACTGGTGCTAATCTAATCTGACTGACATGATCAGACTGTTCAAGAAACTTACGAACAATATGACATGTTCCTAACAAAACAGCTTTTTGAATTTTGACAATTATTGAATCATTCAAATGCAAAGACTTTAAATTCTCAACTAAGCTATTTGGAACTACACCTACATTAGAGATAACTAGGGGTAGAATTGAAATTTTTTTAAGATTCAACATGGATTTCATTTCTATCGATAATTGTAGATATTTTGAAATCTTGGTGTCGTATGTTTGAATAATGTTGTTTGTGTTAGGAATAGCAATGTCAATAAGAATGGCTTCGTTCGTGTGTTTTTTGATAAGTATGATGTCTGGTCTGTTAGCTGTAATGTTTAAGTCTGTAAGTATTGTGCGATCCCAGTATAATTTGTATTTGTTATTTTCAAGGAATGGAGACGGAATATAAGTGTAACAGGGTGTCGTATCTTCGATTAAGTTCATAAGTGTTGCTAATTCTTTGTGAATGATTTTGGCTGCGTTGTCGTGTCTAGCTTTGTAATCAGTTTGTGCTAGGATGCTGCAAGAAGAGATTATGTGCTGGATCGTTTCAGGTTTTGCTTTGCATAGGCGACAGCAGTCGTTTTTTATGTTCGGATCTTTGATGATGTATTTTCTATAATTCTTGGTATTGATTACTTGGTCTTGAATAGCAAACACAAATCCTTCTGTTTCGGCATACAAACTTGATTTTTTTAACCAAATCAATGACATCTTCTTATTGACATGATTTTCTTCTAAGTCTTTGTAGAATTTTCCATGTAGTTGTTTTTGTTTTAGCCCACTTATTATTTTATCTATTGTGTGGGGGGTGTGGATTTCTTCGGTGTTCGACAGATTTAAGGGTGTGTGGTTCAAATCTGCTCTTGTGATGGTGCGAAACATTTCATTTCTTTCCGCTCGTTTCAAGAAATACTTCTTCAAATCTGAAATTTGTATCTGATATAAGTTTTCTAAGTTCTGGAAACCCCTTCCTCCATTCTGTCTTGGTAATGAGAATCTTTCAATCGACGATTTTGGGTGATGCCTTCTATACTGTGTGAAGATTTTCCTTGTTGCGATGTTTAAATTTTCAAGATCAGTTTTGGACCATTTAATGACTCCAAAAGAATATGTTAGCAGTGGAACGCAGAATGTATTTACTGCTTTCATTAAATTTTTTCCATTTAACTGTGTCTTCAATATTAATTTTAATCTTGCTACGTATTGATCTTTCAACTGTGTTTTCGTTTTGGTATGATTGATGTGGGAGGATTGACAGAAACCCAGATATTTGTATGTATCGTTTCGTTCTTGGGCTTCAATTATTTCCTTATTCTCTGTTATATGTGGTATTTGGTGAAACACGCCTTTTCTGATTGCTTGGGTCTTACATTTCTCAATACCAAAGGACATACCAATATCACCGGAAAATTGTTCAGTCAGATTTAATAGGTTTGTTAACTGATTTTGTGTACTTGCATATATTTTTATGTCATCCATATACAGCAAGTGACTTATTCTGTTTTCTCTTTGTTTGTTAATTCTTATATTGAACCCATAATTGCAGCTGTTCAGGATATCGGAGAGGGGATTTATTGCTAAGCAGAACCATAACGGGCTAAGAGAATCGCCTTGAAAAATTCCTCTTCGGATCATTATTGGGTCTGACTGAATTGTTTGTTCATTTAAGGTTATTTGGAGTGTGGTCTTCCAAAATTCCATGGAACATTTGAGAAAAGTGCAGATTTTAGTATCAATCTTGTATAATTCCAGAATTTTGCATAGCCAGGAATGAGGGACAGAATCGTAAGCTTTCTTATAATCAATAAAAGCAGTATATATGTTTCGGTTTTCTTTTCTAGCTTGTTCACAGATGATGGAATCTATGATTAATTGCTCTTTGCAGCCAAAGGATCCTTTAATACATCCTTTCTGTTCTTCATTAATGATGTCAGAGTTAAAACAGTGTTGATAAATTTTTTGTGTAATGCATGAGGTTAATATTTTATAGATTGTCGGTAAACATGTGATAGGTCTGTATTTTGATGGATTTTTTGTGTCGTTATCTTTAGGTTTTAGGTGTGTTACACCATGACATAAGAATGTTGGAAAGGAGGATGGGTCAAGAAGGAACTGATTTAAGTGATGTAGTAAATGAATATGTACACAATTTAATTTTTTTATCCAAAAATTATGAATTTTGTCTGGTCCTGGTG